TCAGCCTTCAGTTGTTTCAAGAGCTGGTTATCATGATCTTGTTGCCATTATGAACCACTATGTCATATTTTTATACTGCCTTGTCAAAATGCTTTACTCAGGTTGGCTACAGGGCCCACAGTGGGAGCCTCCCACAATAGAAGAAAAGAAATCATAATGATTTGAGTGGAAATCAACAAATTGGAAAACAGAAAAACAATGGAAAAAAATTCAACAAGCAAGGAGTTCATTTTTTTAAAAGGTTTAGCAAATTGAGAAACTGCTGGCAAACTTAAGAAAGATATAGAAATATCTAGAATTAGAGATTAAATGGATGACATTACAACAGATCCAAATGAAATAAAAAGAATAACAGTACTATGACACACTGTACTCTATCTAGCAAGTTTGATAATCTTGAAGAAATGGACAAATATCAAAAGCAGGCAAAGATGCCACAAAGAATATTACAGAACAATATCCTTCATGAACATAGATGCAAAAAATTTCAACAAAATTCTGGCCAATAGAATCTAGCAACATACCAAAAAATTATTGATCATGACCAAGTGGTATTCATACCAGGCATGCAAGGATGGTTCAACATTCAGAAAGCAATCAATGCAATCAGCATTTAAACAAGACAAAGAATAAGAACCACATGACGACATCAATGAAACGAAGCCAAACTCAACTGCCATTGAGTTGATGCTGACACAGAGCTACTCTAGATGACAGGGTAGAACTGCCCACTGTGAGTTTCCAAAATTATAACTGTTTACAGGAGTAGAAAGTTCAGTCTTTCTCTCAGTAGATAAAGCATTTGACAGCATCCACTACCCATTTATAATAAAAACCCTCCAGAAAATGGAAATGGAAGGAAAACTCCAGAACATAATAATGCCACATATGCAAATTCAACGGCCAATATCACACTTAATGGGGAAAAATTGAAAACATTTCCCCTGAAAACAGGAACTAGACAAGGGTACCCTTTATCACCACGCATATCGCTCCATACTGGAAGTCTTATTCAGAATCATTAGACAACAGACAGAAACCAAGGGAATACAACTGGGCAAAGAAGTGAAACTCTCACTATTTACAGATAATATGATTTTATGCAGAGAGAACCCCAAGGACTCCACAAAAAGATTGTTCAAAACAATTGAGATTTGGTAAAGTAGCAGGATACAAGATTAACAGGCAGGAATCAACTGGCTTCCTATATACCGGCTAAGAGAGCTCCAAAGAAAGACACCAGGAAAACAATGCCATTTACAATAGTCACCAAAAAAGAGTGAATACTTAGGAATGAACCTAGCCATAGAAATAAAAGACTCATGCAAAGAAATATACAGAACATTATTACAGAAAACAAAAAAATACACCTATGCAAATGGAAGAATATCCCATATTCATGGATAGGAAGACTTAATACTGCGAAAATGTCAACACTACCTAAAGCAATCTACAAACATAAGGCAATTCTGATCCAAATCCTAATTTCATTCCTTTTTTAAAAATCATTTTATTGGGGGCTTGTACAACTCTTATCATAATCCATACATATATCCATTGTGTCAAGCTCATTTGTACATTTGTTGCCATCATCATTCTCAAATATTTGCTTTCTATTTGAGCCCTTGGTATCAGCTCCTCATTTTTCCCCTCCTTCCCTGCTCCCCCTCCCTCATGAACCCTTGATAATTTATAAATTATTATTATTTTGTCATATCTTACACTATTTGACAGATCCCTTCACCCACTTTTCTGTTGTCCAACCCCCAGGGAGGAGGTTATATGTAGATCCATATAATTGGTTTCCCCTCTCTACCCTACCCTCCCTCCACATTCCTGGTATTGCCACTCTCAGCACTGGTCCTGAAGGGATCATCTGTCCTGGATTCCCTGTGTTTCCAGTCTGTACCAGTGTACATCCTCTGGTCTAGCCAGATTTGTAAGGTAGAATTGCGATCATGATAGGGGGGGGGGAGGAAGCATTTAAGAGCTAAAGGAAAGTTGTATGTTTCATCATTGCTAGCCTGCACCTAATTTCATTCTTTAAAGAAGTAGAAAAACTAATGGCTAATTTAATATGGAAAGGTAAAAGACTCAGGACAAGCAAATAACTCCTCTAAAAGAAGAACAAAGTAGTAGGCCTTGAACTACTTGGCCTTAAACCTACTCCACAGGCACGGTAGTCAAAACAGACTGGTACTGGTACAATGATAGACATATAGACCAAAGAAACCCGAGAGAAAACCCAGGCATGAAAGCATTCACCTACAAGCAACTGATTTTTCACAAAGGACCAAAAAACACTAAATGGGAAAATAAATCCTCTTTAACAAATGGTGTTAGAAAAATTGGATCTCCAATTGTACAAGAATGAAACAAGACTCATACCACACCTCATGCACAATAATGAGTTCAAGATGGATTATAAACTTAAACCTAAAACCCCAGAGCCATCAGGATCATCAATGAGAAAACTGGGACAAACTTAAGGACCCTATTCAAGGCATACATACACATACGGCCAAATATAATGAAGGAAGCATACACAGTGGTAGACAAAGTAGATGACTGGGACCTCTTACAATTAAAAAAAATGCACAAAGAAGGCATAGAATGAGAGTTCATGGATTACAAAAAATTCTTTAGTGATGACATAAGGGACAAAGGACAAATTACTCAAATCTGTAGAATTATATAACACCTCAATTAAAAAAAAAAAAACAATCCAACAAAAAGTGGGAAAAGGACACGAAAAGACAAATCTAGAACCACACTTGAATGTCTAACAAACACATGAGGATATGCTCACACTCACTAGCCATTTGGGGAGATGCAAATCTAAACAAAGATGACATCTAACCTTTTACCCACAAGGATAGTTCAATTAAAAAGAATAGACAACAACAAGTGCTGGAGAGGGTTCAGAGAGAATGGAACTCTCACACTCTGCGGTTGGGCTTGTAAACATGTACAGCCATTATAGAAAGTGCTATGGTACTACCTAAAGCAACTCTGAATGGAAATACCATATGACCTAGCAGTAAGTGTGCTGGGCATATACCCAAAAGAAATAAGAGCCAGAACACAAACAGACATGAGACACATGCTCTCCCATGTCCATTGCAGCACAGTTCACAGTAGCACGAGGCTGAAAACAGCCCAAATGCCTATCAGTTGAAGAAGGGATCATAAAACTGTGCTGCATACAAACAACGCCATCCCTAAGAAATAGCAATGAAACACCACATGACATAGATGAACCTGAAAACCATAATGCTGAGTGAAGTCCATCACAAAATGACAGATACTGTATGCGTCCACTACTGTCAGGGGAAACACCAAGAGGAAAGCAGGCTGCTGCTCTCAGGTCACGTGATCTTCTATTCTGGTCTCCTAAGCAATGAGGTAGAGAGCCTGTCTAGTCCCTATGCACCACCTATCATCCCCCTAATATGTACATCTTAAGAACCACAGTGACAGGGGAGCTCTCATCTCAGCTGGGGTCAGTGTTTCAAGATGGGGGAGAGGGAGAAGGCCATTCAGTTGCCGCCATACAGCATTGTTCGAAGATCACCCCAAATCAACATATACTCTTAGAAGAGTGACAAGTAAACCTTACTGTATATTCAAGTCAAGATGGGCGAGGGGGGCATGTATGTCTAGAAGGTGAATACATTTCTGTTGATGGGTAAACCAGGAGGAGCAACCTCCCATTGGGAAAAAATGCTTAAGAATACTTATATTCTTAGGTATAAAGCCCAAAGAGACAATACGCTGGGTACTATGTTCCTAAGTGGACACTTTTGACCTAGTTTCTATCTAGCCCTTGGTGACCCAGGTCATGTGCTCCTACTGGGCCTTTAGACTATGCTCTTTCCAGGAGCACCACATCTGTCATAGGCCATACCAAAAGGGCTCAATGTGGAAAACCCACTAAGTGGACTTTACCTCAAACTGGCCTGTAGCAGATTTAAGGAACCGACATATGTACAACAGAATGAAGCGCCGCCTGGTCTGTGCCATCTCACAATGGGTGTTATGTTTGAGCCCATTGTTGCAGGCAATTGTGTGGATGGCACAGACCAGGCGCTGTTTCATTCAGTTGTACATAGGGTCACTGTGAGTTCAAAGAACAACTTGGATTTTGATGCAGTGAGTGAGATACATATGTCCCAAGTTGTCTCAGATGCAGGGGTTGTTGGGTTAAGGCTCATTTCTTCAGGTGCATGAAGTAATGCAGAATGCCCTACGACATCTTAGCAAACACTATAAGTGGAATCTGCTTCCCACTAAACGCCAGGAGCAGAAAATGTAGATGGGCACTATAGAGCCCCATGGGTTATAAAAGGATTATAGGTAGGCCAGTCATTCAGTAAATTAATCTGTGCATAAAACTTCTTTCTTAAATAAAAAAATTCATTTTATTTGTGGTCTGTATTTTGATTTTGATTTCCAATAGAACTATGTCCCGCACAGTGATGGTGGTTAATATTTCAATTGATCATGGGCTCCACACTCAGTGGGCCTATGAATTCAATAAACACAGGGCCTGAGACAATTCGTCTTCTGTGCTGACAGCAGGGGGAGCCCTTTCTCTCTAGCGTTGCAAAAGCTGTTTGCAAGTAACCCCCTGTAGCGTGATAATCAAGAGTCTTTAATTTTAGAGTGGTACACATTCACTGAGCCCAAGTACACATTCATACAACCCAGTACCTTCTCATGTGGTTGATACATGAACAGTCAAGAAACTCTCATAGAGATTTGACTTCTTAGCCCCCTTTGAGGTAAAACCCATTGTATTGGTGTAAAATCAGTTGACTCATGGTGATCCTATGTTTCAAAGTAGAACTATACTTGCCTGTGTTTTCTTGGCTGTAATGTACAGAAGCAGACTGCCAGGGTTTATGCCCATGGCAGAGGAGTATGGGTTCAAACCACCAATCCTCAGGTTAGCAGTTGATCACAACCTAATGGACCCTCTGTTAGGTAAGGAGGTGGCAAACAGATCTCTATGGCTTTTATTTTGAATAATTGTGAAGCGGAGACCAAATGTTCATTGAATTACTGTCACCTGGAGATTATCTGTAATTTTGGTGGTTTTGTATGCTGAGGATCCATTGTGGGGTGTGCTTCCATGATGTGATTTTGCCTTCTCTCTCTTTCAAAGATCACCTAAAAGGAGGAAACAATGGCAGAACTAGCGCTATGTCAAGACAAACTGCCACAGGAAAAGAGCAAGCATACTTTATAGGAATCACATTTCTATCTGAAAAGGAATCCCAGGTCCTAGATAAAATATATAACTGTTTTCCATGAGATTGTAAAGGGGGTTTGGGGCCTATTAGCAAGGAAGAAAAATATATTGGTGGAGAAAGTCTCTTGGCAGGGCTTTGAGACAGGTATTCTTCAGCCTGAAGCAAGACTATTTTTTCAGCCTCCCCATCAATCTGCCACCATTACTTTTAAACAAGAACTTAAACTCTTACACAACACGTAATCCACAGTGAAGGAGGACTATTTAATGCTAGACAACTGCCATTGCTAAGCTTGTGGTGAGCTGCCATTTTTTAACAGGCAGACTATGTTGTTTAATGTGCTTGTGAAAATATTCTTTATGATAATTAAATAGAATAGTTGATAAAATTTGATAATTATTTGAGTGATACCTCGTTCCCACAGAAATCTTTTTTCAGAGAAAAATATTTCCCCTGTAATTTAACCACGTCTATAAAATCAACCCCCTCTTAGGCAGTTTTAATAGTATTGAGTTGATTTAGTCAATCCCTATGTGGCATGTCGAGGTTTGCTTAGTGTTTATTAGCATGCACCATGCATTAGTGTGTTTTCTGCTAACACAGATGCCCCTTAAGACATGTATGTTTACTCCACCAACCTGGAACATTTGCGTTATTATAGCCACAACCTTGAGAAGAAGGAAAAAAAAAAAGCATCCATGACTTCCAAAAAGGGAACGACAGTTGGGCAACTCTTGTCACGTGCTCTCCCCAACACAGCACATCCACCGAAGACAGGGACCCTGGAGGGCTGCAAGGGCGGTTGCAGACACTCCTTCCCTCTTTGCTGCGCAAAAGAAGGCTAGCCACGCCCCTGCGCCGGCGCGCACATTCCGCCCGCGCCACGCGCTCCCCGGGAGCCAGACCTTTTACTTTATTTGGTTCACCGAGTGGAGCCCCGGCCCGAGCGCCGGCGGGGGAGGGCGTGGGGGCGGGCGCCTCGGGGCCGGCACTCGCGCATTCCATCCCGGGCGCGCGGGCGCGGGCGCGCGCGGGGGGTGGGGGGCGGATTGCCCCGCCCGCGGAGCGTCGCCCCTCTAATTATAGCCGCGGCAGCTGGGGCTCTCGCGGGTGCTGGCGCCCCGGGACAGGTCCGGACTCTGCGGGAGGGAGAAGGCCAGCCGGGATGGGCCTGAGTCGGCCAGGCCCGCAGGACCAGCCATTTGTGGCCCGGGACCGTCTCTCCCGGGCGCGCGGCTCCCCGCACTCCCCGGGGCGGGGGGCTTAAGACACCTGCGGTGCCCGCCTGGGGCTGCAGGGTGCAAGGGCCCCCGCTGCAGCTGGGCTTCCGAAAACTCGGGCCGGGTGTGTGCCCGGGGTGGCGCGGGAACCGGGAAAAGTTTCCAATCCATGAACCCAGGCGCAGGGGGAGTCAGTGCCACCCTGGAACCCACCGCGAGGTTGCAGCGGAGGGAGCCGCCTCCCGTTTCCTTTCCCTCAAGAAAACAGGACTTGGCAGGCGCGAGGGCTGTTTTCTTTCTTTTCAAAGGCCCATTCGGAACAAAAAGTGGAAGGAAAAACAAAAAACAAAACACGGCTACAAGTTGACGGTCTGGACCTAACCTCGATTGTTTTTCAAACGAATCTCTATTTGTATCAAGATAACGTGGCTCAGCAACCGCTGGCATTCGTGACTGCACGGAAAAGGGCACGCGCAATTTATTGTGCAAAATCAGCTTGGATTTAGGACGATGTTTATGTCAGAACCCTATTGTGACTCACGAAGTAATTTCTCGAGAGACAATTCACCACATAGGACTGTAGTCTGAACTAGTTTTAATCTAGAAGGAAACCAATGGGTGGACTCTTGCAATATGGGCTGGTACCCCCAACCCTGCAAACTGACATTCTTCCAGTGACACCAACTGGAAGGTCCTCCAAGTCCTAGACATTGTCTTTTCAACGTATGTGCCTACTTAGTAGGTGTTAAAAAAGAACAGCAGCAACTCATATGGTGCTTACTACGAGAATAGTATTCCAAAACTTCCCTGATGACTGTGACCCTCCTGTGAAATTCTGATTTCAATGGTATGTGGGGTGCAATACCTCTTATCACCAAAAAACAAGTGTTTGAATTGCTATTTGCAAGAAGAAATAACAAAATGAGGATAGCAGGCTTTTAGCCTAGATTGAGGCATGAAACTGCCCTGTTCTGTTGAGCACATTACACAGTTCCAGGCTGGGGAGAACAGGGAGGCCCATTTGTAAAGTCATGCTGCTTGATCCAGACAGTCCCTGCTCCTCCATTTTACTTCTCTGAGGAACTCTTCGTGAAGTAGCAAATAACTCAAAATCATACAATAAAAGAACAACTGGCTAGTCGTTAGATACTAAAATAAACTCAGGTCCTTAGTGCTGAGATGTTGCTTCTAGATTTTTTTCTTTCCACCTGGAGACCTACATAGTCATATATACAGTTCAAAAGATTCTATCTGTACTGGGATAGATACTTCCAAATGGAAGGAAATGTGCGGTGCCCCGAGGATTTGTCCACTGCAGCTGCCGCATGCTTACAAATCACAGCTATAACTAACTCATTGGTGGTGTGACACTTGTCCCATAATGGGCCTCTAAATGTAAAGAAATAATATTGGTTGGCCAAAGTGCTGAGAGATAGGTATATCATATAACAGTTCACTTCTTCAAACTTCAAAAATATTCAAATGTGGCAATATTACTTATTACTTTCACAGGCTATCTCACTATGAAGGACTTCTGTTGAATTGCTACTGGGGGCTCTTTAGATTATGCAATCTAATTTCTAAAGCCCATACAAAGGGTGATATCAACCAATATGTGATACGGCTTAAAGTAGGAATACTGCAATTTAATTCCCCCAAACTCGTCTCTCTCCTAAGGTAGTTTCCATGACTGGGTTTGTGATTATAACCAATAAATATATGCATTACTTTCACTGAAGACTTGTAGTAGGGAGATTTTGAGTCAGTTTGCTTTTAAAGAGTGATTCTACATTTTATATAAGAAAGATTTAAGATTGTACTATAGAATATGAAATGCTAATAGGGTGGTCTCGTAAAGAAATTCTACTCAGTTGTGTTTTTCACATTAAAGATAATAGAACAGTTTTTAATACACAATGCTTCTCACCTTCTGTTTACCTTGCATGGATTGCTTTATGCTGTTTAGTGCAGGCAGAGATGCAGAGTATTAAAAAGCAGTGCAAATATAGATAGTATATTCCAGAGCCTTTAAAAAGTTATACCTCAAAAATAATGAAGCAAACTAAAATCTAGCATCTTAAATTAAATGGACATAGGGGAGCACTAATAGTCTGATAAATTAAAACAGAGTTCTGTTAGAATAGACAGAATTTCTTAGTGGTAAATAAGGGTAGTGGGAATATCCCCGATTGATTATGGATTTAGCTGTGGCTTAGTTGAGTAATCCACAGATAACCCATAACACAGTCAATTTCCCTCTTTCACCTGCTAAGGGGTCATTTACAAATTGATTTGAGTATATTTTGGTACCTTTTAAATTCCAAATAGCATTTAATAACTGAGGAAAATGTAGGGTAACAGAAACAAAGGCTTTAGATAATTGGTAATTTGAGACAACAAACCATCATTTTTTTATTTATTGTAATACTATTGCTGCTAGCAGTTTAACCAGTGATGAAGGAGTTAAACACCCTCTGCCTTCTAGAACCCCAAATGATGAAGTGGGTCAATATGCATTTCATTCTTAGAGCAGGTTGACTTTGGTCTGTGGCAGAGAAGAGGTGCTTCTAACACAGCTCCCTATGCACAAAAGGCAAGCAAATGAGGGTGACTCAGGGCTTTTAGTGGCATTCACACGACTGAACATTTTTCTGAATGATTCCACGTATACACTTAGGAATCAGGAAGAGAAACATTTTGCTCCCTACTATCCAAATAAAAAATATATGCAAAATAACTTTGAGTAATCAAGGGCAGTCTAGAAATTAAAAGGAGCTGCATATTTTCCTTGTTAATTCCTCCCCTCCCCTTTCTGGAGAATAAACAAAGACATCTGTCACATCAAGAGTCTGAAAAAATAAATGCAATTATTAAAGTCCACTTTGGGAGGAGGAGCTTTAAAATGACAAAAATGATGCCTGATTGTCATGGAACTTTAAATTTCACCAAAAGAAACAACCAAAATTAAGCATTTTTTCGTTAAAAAGCAAACACAAATCAATCGTTTTTACCTATTTTACTTCCAAATTACTAGATGAAAAATTGTTTGCTCTATAACTTAGAGTACTGTTCCTTGAAAACTGCCTCAAACAGGCTACTAATACTAGAAAGTTCAGTAAAACACATTCAGTCATGCCTCCAACCCCTCCCAAGTCACGGAACCACACTTAATGAAATCAGACTCAAGTACGGCCGCTCTAAGGGCAGGGTCTGCGAACTGGCTCAGGAGCCCTGTGTGGCTCTTTCGGTATACACATGTGGCTCTGAAGTACAACTGAAAAAAAATGCCGAGGATATGATTCAGATCATGGTGATTTCATTTGTTTGTAAAACTGTATTTATGGCTCTCCAATAATGTTTAAACTGTTGTGAGGGTCAGGATTGGCTCTTGTCAGAAGTTTGCTGGCCTCTGCTCTAATGTATCATTACCACTTAAACCCTATAGTAGTCTATCAAATTGTTTTCCAACTTCCTTTCATAGAAAACTCTGCCAAGACATTGACCAATAAACAGTAAAAAGTTAAATAACTAGGTGACTTCTTACAGTATGACAGACCAAAAACAACAACGAAAGTTTTCTGGGGGTCTTTCCATTTCTCTCCCGAATTATAAACTTGGTTTTAAATATACAAACTAACACATGGCTTTGGTTCTCATGGATTCCAAAGCTTCCCCAAGTATGAGCTTCTCATTTTCGTCATCAGTCCGTTTCCTCTGGCCTAACACAGCTGCTTGAATCGTTTTCTAGCTCGCTGTCTTGAGGCTTTCCAGGTAGTCACTATTCCCATTTATTGTTGCAGCATGGCTGGCTCCACGGCAAGGGGAAAGTAAACGAGTGCTTTCTGTTGCGTACTTTGCTCAGCTCTTGTTTTCCTGTCCCCCTATCGATTGCTCTTTCCCTGGCACCTTTCTTCCTTCCCTTGGCTGCCTTTTTGCTTTATATCCTGTTCTGTAGTGCCAGTAAAACCCCCAAGCCAAACCCATTTTTATTTGCATTGTGCCCTGAGTGATGAGAGCAACAGCCCCTTCTACTTTAAAAAAAATTTAAGGTTTGAGAAGATACAGTGCTCCCAATGTTGTTTTTAATACTAAAAGGAGAAAAGAAAGGAACTATACATTTGACAAATAACAGAATGCCAGGTGCTAATTCCATAATGATTTGAGAAAAATATTACACTCACTTGATATAGAAAAAAGTATCACCTTTAACTTAAAAAAAAAAAAAGAGGTGGCAGTTTTATACTTGGGGGCCAAAGGTGTGTAGCAGAAGTTGTAAACCACGTGTATGTTCCTATAACTTTCCAAGTGAAGCCACCTGAGACATGTTAAATTATAAAACTTATTAAAGCACAAAAGAGGAAATCTTCAATCCCCACATATTTTGAATGTTAAAAACACAGCCGAAATCCGAGGATTTGAAATCTGATACTGCCCATGTGCTTTTTATACAGCTGTGGTTAATCTCTGTACCATCCTCGGGTACAATACAAGATCAAACCCATGCCCATGTCCCCCAGTGTTGTTAACTTTTTACTTATAAAATGCCAGCCAGAGAAATAACACAGGAGCACTTTCAGGAAGGCTGGGTAGGCTTACACAGATCTTGTTTTCGAAGAGCTGCAACCTCCATGCAAGTACTGGTGATACAGCAGGAAGTGTTGGGCTGCTAATTGCAAGGTCAGCAATTCAAACCCATGAGCTACTTGACAGGACAAAGATGAGGCTGTCTGCTCCCATAAAGATTTATAGCCGTGGAAACCCTAAAGAGCTCTTACTCGTTCCTACAAGGTCCTACAGGTTGGGTTAACCTCCATATACCCAACCTTCTAACTCTTCAGTCTGCTCCTTGAAAAAACCATCAGGGAAACCTCAACTGTCTTTCTCATAGCTGGGTAGACTTACCGGAGAGGATAGTTCTCATCCATATGTTTTGAAAGCTCATCTGTATTAAGATTATACAAAGTACAGATAGCTACAATAAATGAAATCAAATGACTGATCGACTTGTAACATCCATGAGGTCAAATTCCAGTTTTTAATAAAGTGCCTAGATACACATTTATACAATAGATCACAATAGTGAATTATTTAAAATGTCTTTATGGGCATTTAAATTTAACTGTTTCTGCATGGTGTGTATTTACATCCCAAATACCAGTCTGATTTGAGTCATACATATACTCTAATAAGTATAATGACAAACTGGTTAATCATGCAAGTCTGTTTGTAATATAACAATGACTGGTAACATGTATTTGCAGAGCATTAATAGGTGCACTCATTGAAAACACTATGAAAAAATCATTTATTTGGTGCAGTATCTGAATTTCAAGGGTTAATAACTTGACCATTAAAAAACATTTTGAGCAATTTGAAAAATGACAAAAATTTAATTACAAAAAATTAGTAACTGTTCATATTTCCAGATTAAAATTGATGCCAGGTTGTGAACACACACACACACACATATATATATATGTGTATACTATATATACTATATATATATAGTAGACCTTGAAGCCCTGATTCAGCCTAAATTATATGGCCAAGTTACAAACGCCTGAACAAGAGGGTCAAAACAGTGTTCCTGCCAATGTTAACTCAGAACATCACAAAAGAAAAACCAGTATCACTGTGAGGCTATTTCTAATAATTGTTGATTTATTGGTTAAAAAAAAAATCATTTTACTGATGCAAAGTGATCAGGAAAAGTAGTTTACAAAAGGCTTCTAAAAATAAGAAGTGGGTCCGTTCTATTATGTAAAACCTTTCATTTCTTTAATTTTCACTAGTTTAATCATTTCCCCCCCAGAACAGTATTATTCACTTGGTATTTCAAACACATGTAAGAAGGAAATTATAGGTTTCCTCCACCCACATTTGGGCTGTCACTGATATGCCCACAGGTAGTCCTGGCAGTGTCTCTCAGCTGTTACAGTCAATGTACCATACTGTATTTAACACTCAATAGAAATGGGTGTAGGTGATAGCTAGCAACAGCCAATAGCACTACAGGTAAATGATAAAAAAACAAAACACAAAACAAACAAAACCATTCCCACAATCTCCAGGTTTACTGCACTGAAACTTCTCGTGCCTTTTTTTTTTCCCAATGGAAAAGAGACAGCAACAACAACAGAGTTCTAGCTACGACGTTTAACAAGATGAAGTGGCGCTGTAGAGCCTGGCTCTGTTTAAAAATGGCAGTGCCATGCCTGTAAATACACATCGCCACCCAATATAACCACCTTCCATCACTGAAACTGTGTATTATGTAACCAACGAGCATGCGGCATTGTAATCTTACAACTGATCACGTGAACAGTGAACAATGGTCAACTTTGTCTTAAAAACAAAACGTGGAGGCTTCCCCCACTCCCACTCCTGCAAATCTCTCAGCAGCTCCTCTCAGTCACCGATATTGCAAGAACTGAACTTTAAGAACAAAGTAGATTAGAAACCTACTTTCCTATTACCTAGAATGGCTTGGGGTCAACCCACTGATGTTTCCCAGTGGTAGGCCAACTTCACAAGTTTCCCCCTTCACTCATTTCCTTTCCTTTCCCACCAACTGGCCTACAGCCTGAGAAGGGGACCAGCAATGAAGAGTAACAGACAGTAAGGCAATCTTACAATGCCAGAAAAATGTATTTGGCTTTTTTTTCTTTTTAAAATAAGTGCATACAAATACAGCTAGAAGCATTTTTGATTTGCCAAGTGCTCTTAAAAAGCAGCGCAAGTCACAGCCTACATAGAACAATAACTGTCACCAGGATAATAAAGCACAGATATGCTAATAACATTAACAAAAGAAGAAAATGCCTTTATAAGTACATACCTTTTGTCGTCAAAAAAAAAAAAAAAAATCGAAGCACAATGTATTAAAAAACAAACAAAACCAAAATGATAGTCATGTTATGAAGTCTACATTTCCCTTGTCCTGGATATATATGTATATATATACACATACATATATATATACATATATATAGAAACATATATACAATTCAAGCAGTTTTAGTTAAGGGTAATCATTGGGTTTTTCTGAAACCAGAAAGTCAAGAGTCTCTCTCTTTTTTCACTTTCACATCTCCAGCCAGGATGGTGGCAATTTCCCCCTGCATGAAAGCCCAGGGGACATTGGAGCCCACAAGAGGGCATTTTTCCCCACTGGGACAATAGACCTCTCCACTAGCTCCCTGCTGTTTGATGCTTTGTCTGGAGCAAGGGAAGCAGAACTTGTGCGAAGGCACAGAGGGGCACTGCACAAAGTGAGTGTCCTCCAGCCGCTCGTGGCACAGTGTGCAGCACAGTGGGGCGCTGGCTGCCAGAGAAGAGTCCGGAAGGCTGGCAGGGTGCACAGGCTCAAGTCCTCCTGTACTGCTGGCGCCTTGGCCCCCCCCATCTCGGGCACCCAGCCTTCTTTGGTTCACAGAGGACGGAGAGGGTGGACTGCTGCTATTCCTCCTGGTAGTGGAGTGAACCTGGTTGGCATCTTTTGTGGCATGACTGCCCCCTGCATTGTCTGCTACTAAGATTAGGGCTGCCATGGGGGACTGGCCATTCTGGGCTGCTTCAGGCGGTGTGGTCCGGTTGGAATGAGGGGAAGCAGTGGGTGGGGGTGGAGAGATAAAAGAGGATGTGGGAGTCATGGGGATCTTGAGCCCATCAGTTGATGTGGAAAGCCAGGGCTGGGCCTCTCCATTTATCTTGGAGGCGGCGACTTCACCTTCTGGTTCTGGAGAAGGCTTCCTCTTCCTTGCTGTTCTTGCGACTGGGAAAATTAAAAAAAAGAAACAAACAAAAAAAATGGAATAAATGAACATGGACTTAGAAGACTCCTTCCTATAGCCAACGTTATGCAAAACTCCTTAGAGAATTCTCATCCCGTAAAAGCAGGTCGAATAAAAAAACTCATGCTTTTCAAGTGTAGCTGTAACTCAAAACAGTCATCCGTAGAGGGCTGGCAGTATGAATATGGGCTTAAAAAAGGAATCTCTCATGTAAAAATGGTTATGTAGACAACTGCCTGATTTTTAAGCAAAATGCAGTGAATGCAAGGTAAAAATCACACGCCTGCAGATACCCACTGTTTGGGCTGTGCATGTGATCTTTCATGTCCCCCAGCAGGTTCAAAGGTGCCTGCTCCCATCCAAGAATGAGTGCGAAAGGAAAAACCCTGGGTCAGTCAGTCAGCGCAGTCTGACTCATCTCTGTTATGCTGCTTCAGCACAAGAACACGTTGCCACTAAACACTGGTTCCACCTCAGGCAGATCAGGAAGTTGGGTGTTTGTTGTTTCTGCGGGTTCGGGTACTGGTACACAGAGCGAGCACGAGCACCCCCACATCTACTCTGCGTCTCCCGCTCTCCCCCTAAGACCCACTCATTTCACAGCCGCCCCTACCTGCTTTAGACCCGTTGGCCCCGTTGGCCTCGAACCCCAACAACCTGCCTGCAGTCAGGGCCGGCTCCTTCTTAAACTTGCTCTCGAAGGGCCCCGAGTGGCCGTGCTGGTGCAGGGCCAGCAGGGTGTCACGCACGGTCTTGGGCCTGTTGACCCAGTCCTGCTCGCTGGGCCCGCGGCCCTTGCCCGCGCCCTCGGCGGAACCCAGCTCCGAGGCCCCGGCGGACAGGCTGTCGGCAGGGCCTCGGTGCGCGGGCGGGGGCGCCTTGTCCTTGGCCGCGGCCTCGCGCTGCTCGTGCTCCGCAGCCACGCTGCTAGACACTGACGCCGGCCGCTTGTGGGCGCCCAGCTCGCTGGCCTGCACGGGGCCCAGCCCGGCGGCGGCGCTGCCCGACACGGCGGCCAGGGAGGCGGCGGCGCGGCCGCTGAGGCTGAGCGCCGCGGGGAGCTGCGCCGCCGAACCGTTCATAAGTGGCACCAGGGTGGGCGGCACGGTGTGGCCGCGTCGCGGGTTCGGGCTCTGGCGGTTCAGCTCCGGAGGGTCCTCCAGCTTGGAGAAGCCATTGGGCACCAGGATGCCGTTCACGGGGGGCGGCTGCGGCTGCACCAGGCCGGCCGCCTGGCGGCTCCCACCGAAGTCGGAGGCGAGGCGCGGGGGTCGCTCGGCGGCGGGCGCCAGCGGGTAGCGCTCCAGGCCCTGCGGGCCTCGCGAGGCCGCCTCGGGGGGGCCGTGGCCCAGGTGCTGCTGCTGCTGCAGGAGGATGTCTTTGGCCGAGAGCGGCGGCGGCGGCTTGGTGGCCGAAGCGCTGGCGCCGGGCGGGGAGCGGCCCTCCTGGAAGCAGCCGTGCGCCCGCTTGAGCTGGCGAGCCGTCTCGATGACGAACTCAACGCGGTCGGCGCCCTCGTAGTTGACGCAGCCCCGGCACACGGGCTCGGTGAAGTCCCAGATCATGGCCCAGGGCATGCGGGGCAGGTCACACAGGTAGCACGACTGCC